GGGGGGTTGTTACTCTCTTGTAACACCTATAATCTTCGGCACTTTTATGACACCCGTATTGAATTGCAAGTTCTGTAAAACACGTACTGAAACTTAACCCCCTCACCCCCACCCCCACTCCACTCCCACCAGTTCCACACAGAGGGCGTGACCCCTGACCCCAACATGTACGGGATCATCCAGAGATCATTCAAACACCTGTTCCAGCTGCTGAAACGTCAGGGCACAACCAAGATGATCCGGGCATCTTACCTGGAGATCTATAACGAGCAGGTGAGGGGGAGGAGGATGGTGGTGATGATGATGATGGTGATGGTGATGGTGGTGATGATGGTGATGGTGGGGTTGGTGGTGGTGATGGTGGTGGTGGTGGTGGTTGTGGTGGTGGGGATGGTGGTGATGGTATTGATGATGGTGATGGTGGTGGTGGTGGTGATGATGATTTTGATGATGGTGATGATGGTGATGATGATAATTAGTAATATGATAGTATGATTATACTAATGACGCTGGCGATGACAATAGTGATAATTATGATGATAATGATGACGATGATGATGATGATGATGATAATAATAATGTGACCGTGTAACACTGTATCATTAAAATATTATTTTATTTTAAAGCGCAAGGCGAAACATTAGAAGTGGCCATAGCATGTACAGGTGATTTTCTTAGTGAGACAGGTGATTGTCTTAGACAGGTGATTTTCTTAGTGAGACAGGTGATTTTCTTAGGCAGGTAGCCGTTACAGCAGGTTCGACTGTATAAATGGTCGCTTTTAAGTACAAGGGGGGCTATCCTGAAAAATGCTGTTTTGAAAAAATCGAAGGTTATGTTTTTGCCTCTTGTTCAGTTTCTTTACAAAACAAGGAGAGTTTTCTCTATAATTAATTTAAAGAATATACACACCATTGAAACCAAACTTCTCCTATAGGTAGGGCAATGCCCAGTTTTGGTGTAAGTCAAGATTTCAGGAAACCCCCGAAATCTGGGTTCGCCCGCTTGTCCTTAAAAGCGACTATATAACCCCCTCTCTCCCCTGGAACGTTACAGGTGATCGACCTGCTAAACAACAGTCACCGGCGCTACCTGCAGGTGAGGTGGAGCAAGAACAAAGGCTTCTATGTGGAGAATTTGTTCACGGTGGAGTGTGAGTCGATTGACGACCTCATGGCGGTGTTGGAGGAAGGTGAGTGGTGATGCTGGTGTTGTGGTTGTTGTGGTGGTGTGTGGCTTCTATGTGGAGAATTTGTTCACGGTGGAGTGTGAGTCGATTGACGACCTCATGGCGGTGTTGGAGGAAGGTGAGTGGTGATGCTGTTGTGTTGTTGTTGTTGGGGTGGTGTGTGGCTTCTATGTGGAGAATTTGTTCACGGTGGAGTGTGAGTCGATTGA